ATAACAAGAGAACCCATAAGCATACATGGAGAGTGAACAATACACTCTGGATGACCAACGAAACATTGAAAGAACCAGGAAGAAAATTTTAAAATTTCTAGAATCAAATGAGAATAAACCTCAAAAGAATCTATGGGATATGGCCCAGGCTAAGTGTAAGAGGAAAGTATATGATTCAAACAAATAACCTAATGATGTACCTCAGAATCCCAGAAGAACAATAATCCAAACCCAAAAGCAGGAGTGTGCAAAAGATAATAAAAATCAGAGCAAAAATTTCTGAAATTGAGATAATACACAGAACTGATCAAGCAAGAGTTGGGGCTTGGCAAAAATATAAGATTGACAAACTTCTAGCCAAACTAGCCAAAAGAAAGAGAAAACCCCACATTAATGAAATTAGGGGTGAAAGGGGCAAGTTAGTATGGGTTCCAATGAAATGGAGAGAAACACTGGGAGAATTTTGAAAATGTACATTCAAAAGAATAGGTAAAGAGTCTAGAAGAAATGAATAAATTCCAGAACACACAAGACCTACCAAAATTTGGTCAAGTGTCTTGGGAAATAGCTAAGTGGATGAAGTGCTTACCAAGAAAGCATGGGGACCAGAGCGGAGATCCTTCAGACCCACAGAAAAGCCAGACAACCTGACTGTAATCCCAGCACTGGGACAGAGACAGGAAAATGTCAAAGCAAACTAGCTAGCCAGACCAGCTGGAGTGGTAAACTCTGGGTTCACTTAAGAGACCTTATCTCAAGGAATAAGGTAGAAAATAATTAAGGAAAACATCAGCATCAAACCCATGCCTCCATTCACATGAGCACTTATGTACACATGTACCTACACATACAAATATGCAGGTACACATCACAAGTATATACCCACAAAAATATTAAGAGGTTATCAACAACTTAAACAGGTCCGTAACAGCAAGACAGAAGCAGTAATAAAAGGCCTTCCAACAAGGACCAGGACCAGCGGATTCATTGTCAAGACTACCAAAGCTTCAAAGAAGACCTCACAAACTCTTCTATGAGATAAAAAGGAAAGAACACTTCCAAATTCACTGAGCAAAGCCAGCTGTACACAAATGGATAAGAATACAACAGCAAAAAAGAAAACTACGGACCTACCTCTCTGATGAACAGAGACACAAAAATTTACCATGAGATTCTTGAAAACCAAGTTTAAGAACACGTTAAGAAGATTGTATACCATGAGCAAGTTAGTCTCATTCTGGAAATAAAAGGTTATTCAACATACACAAATCAATAACTACAATCCAGCACATAAGTAGACTTAAGGACAGGCTCCACAGGACCATCTCAGTCAATGTAAAAAAGGCCTTGAGAAAGTTCAGTATCCCTTCATAATAAAAGCTTTGGGGAAATAAAAATAAAAGTACAAGTAACATACCTCAATATGATAAAGACACTATACAACAAACCTAAAGCCATCATTATAATAATTGGGGGAGGTTGGAACCATTTCCTCTGAACTCTGGAATAAGACAAAAGCAACAATTCTCTCCACTCTTATTCAATACAGTGCTGAGTCTTAGCTAGACAAGGGAAAAATAAAAGGTTACAAACAGGAAAAGAATAAGTCAATTATCACTATTTGTGGCTAACACAATCCTATACTTAAGACTTTAAAGACCACAGCAGAAAACTTTTAGCCTTTATAAACACTTTCAGCAACGTAGCAGGGTACAAAAATCAGCTTACAAAATGAGTAGCTTTTCTATATACCAATAATGAGCCTACTTAGACAGAAATCAAAGAGAAAATTCTACTCAGAATAAATTTTTTTTAAATATTGTATAAATCTAACCAAGGAGACGATTATATTTCTGAAAGCAACCTACAGATTCAACATAATCCCTATTGAAAATTCTAATGGCATTCTTTGCAGAACTAGAAAAAAATCCTAAAACTCACATTATACAACAAAGACCCCAAACAACTAAAGCAATTGTGGACAGAAAAAAAGTAATGCTGGAAACATCACAATACCTGATCTTAAATTACATTGCAGAGCTACAGTAATGTAAACAGCATAGTACTGTCTCAAGAACAGATCTGCAAACCAATGGAGTAGGATAGGGAACCCAAAAATACATCCACACAGTTACAGACAATTCTTGACAAGGCTGTCAAAAACAAACATTCAAGAAAAGATGGTCTCTTTAACAAAGAATGAGACTAGATCCATACTTCTCACTCTGCACACACACACACAAAAAAAAAATCAACCCAAACTGGGATCAAAAATTTAACGTAATCTGGAAATTTTGAAGCTGCTACAGGCTACAGAAAAACATAGGTAAAATCCTATAAGACACATGCAAAGACAAGGACTTTTCTAAAAATAAAAATAAATTAAAATTTTTTAAAAGTCTCTAATAGTATCAGAAATTACCCCAAAAATATGTCAATGATGTTACATGAAATTAAAAACCTCTGCATGGCAAAAATGATCACCAGAGTAAAAAGACAGCCTGTATAGTAAGATAAAACATCTCTGCCAGCCACACAAGAGATTAATCCATAAAATGTATAGAGAACTGCAGCCACAATTAAACACTAAGAAACAAATGATCCGATCAATAGATGGGCTGATGAACAAAATAGATAGTTCTCAAAAGAAGAAATTCAAATAGTCAATAAACACTTGAAAAGTACTCAGCATCCTTTGTCATCAGGGACATGCAAATTAAAAGTGCCTTGAGAACCCATCTCACTGCAGTCAGAATGACTAACAGCATGAAAACGGTGGGAAGCAATGACAGTGAGGCTGTGGGGAAAGACGAACCCTGCCTCACTGCTAGTGAGGGTGAAAGCCAGTATGGCGGCTCCTTAGAAACCTGGAGATAGAAGCAGCATGTGGTTCAACTACACCTCTCTTGGGTTGATGCCCAAAGGACTCACACATCACAGAGATACTTGCATGCCTTGTTTATTGCTGCACTATCCACAACAGCCAGGAACTGGAGCCAGCCTAGATGTCCATCGACAGCCGAATGGATAGAGACCATGAATTGCATATAGACACAGGCATTTATGTAGCCTTAAAAAAACTGAAATCATAACATATTCAGGAAAATGGACTCAACTGGCTAATCATTATGTTAAACAAAATAACCCAGGTTCAGACAAACAAATACTGTGTACTTTCTCAAATACGCAGGACTTAGGTTTAAAATTATGTGTGCATGTGTATGCATTTATATGAGTGTATAAATCGTGAGACTAGAAAGAGGGCCATGGGGAGGGAGGACAAGATTTTGAGGAGGGCAATAAAACACAAGTGTATGAAAGCAATAGGGAGGCTATGTGGAAAGAGAAAGGGATCCAGCCAGAGGGGACATGCGGGAGGCAGTGCAGGGGTGGGGGGAGATGAGCATAGCACATAAGCGTGAAAATGGTATGATGGGATCTATCACTCTGTACTGACCTCTGAGGCCAATACTCCACAGAGATATGTACTGATACAGCAAGCATTCTGGACTCATCAGGGAACCAAAGAGACTTCTCAGAAGAGGTCACTGGGGAGCGGGCATCTGAAGAATGAGATGGTATCAGCCAGACGAGCAGGAAAGAAGAAGGGGGAAGAGCATCATTCGCTGAGGAAATGGTACAGACAAAAGCCCAGTGTCAGGAAAGCCACAGCCGGCTTGAAGGACTCAGACATGAGTAGAGATCATGCGCAGCTTGAAGAGAGAGCTGGTCCCTGAGTACAGCAGAGGCCACTCTTCGAGGGCTGGAGAAAGGATTTATTTGTCCACAATCATCATTGTTAACCAATGTGGCACAGCTGTTACTACCACTGTTAAGATGGAAACTGATGTCAGGCATGGTGGTGCATGCCTTCAATGAGTTTGAGGCTAGCCTGGTCTACATAGTGAGTTCCAGGATAGCCAGGGCTACATAATAAGACCTTGTCTCAAAAATGCCCCCAAAATAGAAGCTAGTACTCAGAGAAGCAGGGTACCCCCTCAGAGTTACATGGCTGTCCATAGAGCTGGGATTCAGGGTCATCCTCACCTTGTTGGTGCACTCAAACTACCTGTGGGCTATTCAGGATCCAAACATTTTTCTCCTATCATGGGAAGAAATATTTCCTTTCCAGGGACCTCAAAGCCAATTATAAGTCATATAGCACAACATTTGCCTAGCTGGGCCAGCTCTGAGTCAGAGACTGGAGTGGGATGAAGCCAAATAGATGAAATAAAAACTATGTGATTTGGGGCAAGCAATTTCCCCCTTCCTAGTCCCCAGTTTTTCTATCTCTGAAAGCACTGGACCACAAGGCCTCTGAAGTAGCTTCCCACAGCCTGAGTCTTAGGTGTGTTTTCTGGCTGAGTAACGACAGGGAAAGTGAGGAGACTCCCAAACCAGTCTTTATCCAGGAAACTGCAATTTACCAAACAAGAAAATCAAGGGGAAATTGCAAAGATGATGAGGGATGGACCTTTTTTAGGAACAACAACCTAATCACAAGTCACTGCTAGGAAAGAGATGTCACAAAAACCTTGATTTGCAGCTTTGGGGAGTGGCATGCCATGGGATATGGGCAATTAACAACGTGAGCTGCTTCTCTGAGGCACAGATGAATCATGGGAGGTGGTGTCAATGGGCTGGAAAGGATGCTGCACAACACGTGACCTAAATCTTCATCTGATTCACAGAACCTTGTAGAGCTGCCCCAGCAAGCTGCAGTTCTATGATGGCAGTAACGAACCTGTTCCTTGTAGAACAGTGCTCACTCGGGACTTAAAGGCAATGAATGAAGGGGTGAATGGATGAGTGGAGGGACCCCTTGCTCCAGTGTTGCCCCAACAACTCTCCTAGGACTTTAATTCTGGCACTGCCTTCTGGAGAACATTTGATCTCCTGTTCTTAGGAAGGGGACTCCCAAAGCAGACATGGATTTTGGAAGTGCTTGTAGGAACTCTTTCCATTGCAGTGTGGGGAGCCAACATGGACGTGCTCATGAATAGGTGCCGACCACCAGCAAATGTAGTTTGGTGCCCCTGGTAACCTTCCGAGAGATGACACAGAACTGTGTTGATCAATTCACAGCCTCAAGTCACATTTGATAGCTAAGGATTTGAAATGCAGATGGTGAGAGAGATTTAGAGGAAATACAAATTAACCCACAGGATTTAAAAGGCGATATAAAAATAAGTATAAAATGTCTCATTAGTGATTTTGTGTATTGAAATGATTTTTACATATATATTCAGCAAAGATAAAATATTAAAATGTATACCACCTGCTTCATTTTACTTTAATTTTAAAAAGTATATTGAGCGGGATGTAGTACTCATGTATGCAGAAAACAGCGACCTTAGGCTCACAAATCTGGATACTTGGCCCCCAGTTGGTGGAACTGTTTGGGAAGAATTAAGGGGTGTGTTCTTGCTGAAGGAGGTGTATCCAGCAAGGGTGGTCTTTGAAGTTTCAAAAACCTCCCACTATGCTCAGTGTGCCTCTCTCTTTCTGATTGGTAATTGGGGATCAAGCGATAAGATCTGAGCTGCTACCGCCACCATGTCTTTGCTCTACCCTTGTGGACTCTAACCCTCTGGAACCCTTAAGTTCCAAATTAAATGCTTTCTTAAAATAAGTTGCTTTGGCCATGGTTTTTTATCACAACAAGAGAAAAACAACTAAAATATCATGTTTGTAATTCTAAGTGCCCATCCTGCCAAAGACTGTGTCTCTCGCCTCCCTTAAGGCTGTGGATGCCCCAGGCTCTAGTGATGAGGCGTACAGACATGATGTGAGCATCGTTCTCTCACCTGTTCACAAAGAAATTCAGAATCTTGTTGATTTTGCATTTTTCTCCTTCCACCAACTAGATAACAATTATCAAACAGAAATCAGACAAAGCTGAGCCTAAGTGATAGAAGGATGGCTCAGTCAGCAAAGTTCTTGCCATGCAAGCATGAGGACCCGAGTTCAATCCCCAGAACCCACATAAAAGACCGGGCATAGCAACATCCACCTGGCACTCCAATGCTGAGAAGAAGAGACAGGAGGCTTACTGGTCAACCTGGTCGAATTGACGAGTTCAGGGAGAGACCCTACCTCAAAAGGTAAAACAGAGAGTAATTGAAGAAGATACCCAACATCAGCTTCTAGACACACACACACACACACACACACACACACACACACGCATGCATGCACTACACACACACAAATAAACCTGAACTCTTGAAAAATAATGTTGGACAGAGCTACTTGCTAACTTGGAGAGGGGAATTTAAGTAAGGACCTTTGAGGTCCTTGCTATTTCACAAGATGACACAATATTGGGCTTTAATTTGGGGTCTTGTACTGGAGGAACTCAGAGCTAACATTACTACAGTATTCTCACCAGTGTTATTCATTAGAATCAACAGCTGACACAGAGGGCTCAGGGGTGCGATTCAGCTGGAGATGGAAAAGCCACGAGAACACGCCTGCGCCTCTCTCCTCCTGTAAATCACCTGCCTCATATAGATCAAGCTTTCACTCTGGCTGTGTGAACCCCTCGCTTCCTGTCATGTCCCCCAAACTTCATAGTGATACACATTAAGACATCTTGTCCTCTGCTCTTACAAGAAAATGTGCCCTGTAGCTGAGATAACTGATTTGGGCCTCTAGCACTAAGCCGAGAAGGAAGTCAGCTGTCAGTGATAAGGGTCCACCCTGGGATCCTTCCTCCTAGACACTTGCCTCCCTCCCTTCCATCTTCTTTGCTCCCAGTAACCTTGGCCAGCCAATCAGTGGCCGTGTTGGCTTTCTACACCAGCCTTTCTTGATGTGTATAATCAATTGCTGTCTTGAAACACCATCTGGGCTAAACCCTCAGAAAGGAGTGAACTTTGATCTTTGTTCTGCTAAGATTGCTTCGGCATCCATCTAACCGAACTTCAGGCCCTGAATTTCACAGAAGTGGGCCCCAGAAAGGCAGATGAGACCCTATGTCACACTTCAGGAGCAAGAGACTTGAAGTCAAAAAAGTCCACCATGGATATCCTTTCCAGCTGTATTTCGGGGATCAGGCCCTAACCTGAGTCAGCCAGGGACCAGGGATGGCTCAGAAACCATCACCTTCCACTGGATCCCAACATCTAGACATACTCAAAAGCCAAGTCAATTCTAAGTTGTCTACATGTGTCTCATAATACACACACACACATACACACACACACACACACACACACACACACACACACACGCTAGAAGAAGGCTGAAGGGACAGAAATCCAGAGTCCAGATGGAGTTAAGGGAATCAACCAAAGAGACATAAAAATCAGGACCCAACTTTCCGGAAGAGCAAGGGTGCTGTCAAACGTCTGACATAAGCCGTCCCATCGGCAGCCTGCTGGGAACTTGATTCTAGTTGCTGATTTTCTGCTTTGTAGGCGCCCCTCTGTGTCCTTAGTCACTAAATGCAGTAGTCACATAGAATAAGTCCCTCTAGGAAGGAGAGGCCATCACCTGAGACAGACCCAGTATTGGGTTATTAGGGCAACCATGGACTCAGTGGCTTCAAAGTTTCTTCTTGTTGTGATTCTGGGCCTGGAAGAACAAGGTCCAAGAGTTAGCCAGTGGTTTTCTTATGAGTACTGTCTCCTGGGCTTGTGGACGGTCACCTTCCCACCACACCCGTCCACAGTCTTCCTCCATGTCCGTGCACTCCTGTGTTCTGAGCTCTGCTTCTCATAAGGACACCGGTCACACTGCACTAGAACCACTCATGCGGGCCTCATTTTACTTTAGTCGGTTTTTTTAAGTCCCAACTCCATAAGCACAGCTCTCACCTCTCATCAGAGAAGCTTCTTTTTTAGTGAAAAAGGAGGCTGTTACAGAAAAACCACAACAAATCATAATGTAGATGATAACAAAGATCGTGGGGAGCCCAGCTACCATGGATACGTCTATCATACAACTCTGGGGCCATCTTGGAAGAAGGAGCAGAAAGACTGCAAGAGCTGGAGGACAAGGAAGTTTGCTGTGAGATATTAGGCTGTCCTACATGTGACAGTGAAGCCACACCCATGAAGTCTCATCAACACGGCTGCCTAAGCAAGACCTGAACAATGTAAATATTAATCGGCATCCCAGCATGGGAGGTGGAACTCTCATGGGGTCCCACGTCAGACAAAGAATTGCAGATATGTAGTAACTGTTGTGGACTATTCCTGTACACTGTGTGAAGATGTGTCACTTTGATTGGTTTAATAAAAAACTGAATGGCCATGAGCTAGGCAGAAGAGGTTAGGCGGGACTTCTGGGGACAGAGAGCTCTGGGAAGAAGGGTGGAGTCCCCAGTCAGATGCAGAGGAAGCAGGATGGGAAGTACAGAGTAAAGGTTACCGAGCCCAGAAAGAATGTAGATTTTTATAGATATTAAAATAACACATGTATGTATATGTATGTATACATACATATGTTATTTTAAATTATAAGAACTAGTTAGGAACAAGCCTAAGCTAAAGCCAAGCATGCATAATTAATAAAAAAAATCTCCATGTGGTTATGTGGGAGCTGGCAGTCAGGATAGAGAAAGACTTGTTACAAGTAACTGCTAAGAGAGGGAGAATTAGCCCCTTCCAGGATTGAAGCTCCTAATTGGTTATCCTATACAAAATGGTCAGCCCTGAAATCATATACACACAAGTCACACTAAACATACTCAGCAGATTGTATTTATGCATTTATGTGTATGCATGTAGCAATAATAATCAAAAAGAGGATATCAATTTGAGAGGGAGTGGGGGCATGGAAGGAGCTGGAAGAGACATGGGAGGGGCTAGGATAGGGGAGGATAGGGAAGAAGGAAATGTTGAAATTATATTTTAATTTTTACTAATTTAATTTTTAAAAATTCCCACGTCAAAGCACAGTCACATTTTAGGGTCTGGGAAGTTAAAATTCTGACACCTGAATGGGGAAAGGCTTATGATGTGGGAGTCCCTCTGTATGCTGTGATTACCATTAATGAATAAAGAAAGCGGGCCTGAGCCTACAGCAGGGCAGAACAGAGGTAGGTGAGGAAAACTAAACAAAATGCTGGGAGAAAGAAGGCAGAGTCAGAGAGAAGCCATGTAACCCCACAGAAGCAGGATGGAACTTTACCCAGTAAGCCACAGCCTCGTGGAAATACACAGATTAATGGGGATGAGTTAATTTAAGATATGAGTTAGCCAGAAATATGCTTAAGCTATTGGCCAAACAGTATTGCAAATAATATGGTTTCTGTGTGATCATTTCAGGGCTGAGAAGCCAAGAACAAACAAGCAGCCTCCTACAACAGGGCTAGTTCAGTATGAGCAGGCCCCATTCCTTTTCAGAGACCATCAGTGGGCTCAAGGTGCCTATAAGCCTGCAGTGATAGACAGGCCCACCCTTGATAAAGAACAATGTAAGACTTCTAGCATTCCAGAAGCAAAGGCACAAGGATGTGAAGCTGAAAACCAGGATGGGCTACATAGCAAGTTCCAGGCTAACTTAGGCTTTGTAGAAGGACCCTGTGTCAAAAACAAAAGCAAATATAAATAAATAAATAAATAACAGAAAAAGACTTCGTGTGAGATGCCCACAGAAGGAGGGAGGGGCTGTGAGCGATGCCTTCAGTGGGTAAAGTGTTTGCCACACACATGTGAGTACCTGACTTCAGCTCTCTGTCACTCACTTAAACACCAGGCAGGAACAGTGGGCCACCTGTAATCCCAGCCCGACTGAAGCAGAGGTGGGGGATCCCTGGAGCAAGCCGGCTAGCGAGAGTAGCCAAGTCTGCAAATGTCCTAAGCACTGGAAATCCTTAATGTAAACAGCTGCAATCAGAGACACACTCTGCCAGGCCAGAAGCCTGTTAGGAGGAGACATTTGCATCTACATCTCAAATGCTCTGATGGACTAATTGGAAGTTTGAACTGGATGATTTAGCTTCAAGCCTGCCCTCTGGTCCTGCAATCCCGTGTTAACACCAGTTTCACAATCCGAACTAGATAAAACGATAGTTAATGACATGTAATTCTGGAATTTGTTGTGCTCATCCAAAATGTCTGAAATGTCTGAGTCACTAGTATAGACCAAGCGACCACACACACACACACATACATGCACATACACCACCTGAAAACACAGCTCATCTGAAACATGTGAACTCTCTTCCAAACCATGTCAAGAAACAGGCTTTAGAAGAACATGGCTCTTCACCTCCTGCATCAAAAATGTATCATTCTTGAAGGGCCTTATCAAAGTTACTTTTCTCACTGGTGTGACAACCTCAGGAGATGGGAGGGCTTATTTTGGCTCACAGAGTGAGGGCATAATCCATGATGGTGGGGAGGGCATAGTCCATGATGGTGGGGAGGGCATAGTCCATGATGGTGGAGAGGGCATAGCTGCAGGAGCCTGTGGCAGCTTCTCACATTACATCTACAGTTAGGAGGCAAAGAGAGTTGAACTTCCGGTTCACTGTGCCCTTTTGATGTAGTCCGGGACTCCAACACATAGAATGGTGCCACCCACAATCTGGGTCAGTCTTCCAACCTCAACCTAATCTAGAAAATCACTCACAGACATGCCTGGAAGTCTGTCTCGTAGGTAATTCTAGAAGTTATTGAGTTAATAATAACTATCACAAGCATGAAAAACAGAATGAAGGTACTTCTAAAGATGCCCGTAGCCCATAAGAGAAAAAGAATAATACACACACATACACACACTCGTGCGCACGAGAGAGAGACCCATGTCCTAATACCCCACATGTGTGACTGCCTATATATCTATGTGGCAACAAGGACTTTCACCATGTGACTTGTGTCAAGAACTCTGAGATGGAAGGAAGTCATCCTGGTTTGTCTGAATGGTCCAGCCTAGTCATGTGAGTCCTCATTAACAGAGATCCTTTCGTGGCTGTGGCCAGAGAATCAGAGAGATGAAGGCATAGGGATGTTTTAGCCAAAAGCCAAGGCACGCAGGCAGCCCCTACAAGCCACGAGAGGCTAGGAAGTAGATTCTGCCTAGAAGCCATAAGGAGTATGTCCTGCCAGCCCTCGGATCTTAACCAGCAAGGCCCTCCTCAGGCTTCTAACTTCTAGAACTGCAGGATAAGTACGTGTAGGGGGTTTGTTTTCAAGCTGTGTGGTTTGTAGGCGTTTGTTACGGCAATGGTCGCAAACAGAAACAAAAATCAGAACCAGTCACTTCCCAGTCAGCAGAGTCGGAACTGCAGACTTAGGCCAACAGATGAGCCCCACGCATCTCAATCATCTGCAAACAGGAGAGCTGACCTTTCTTGTGCGGCTAATGTAGAACTAATGGTGACGTGAAAGTGGAAGCAAGCCCGTCCAGAGGAAGCGAGGGTTAACATGAGGTGCTAAGAAATGAGCAGGACGAATGGGTGTCGTGCCCAAAGTGTGTTACGCACTTGAATGAAAGTGTCCTTGTGCAACCCAACACCACGCACAATGAATGTGTGTTAGTGAAAACAGAAAATATGTATCAAAGAATTAATGGTGGTAACAAACTGCTAGCGTCTTGTCTGCTCCAAGGAACCAGGTATTCATATCTCTCTCTCTCTCCCTCCCTCTCTCTCTCTCTCTCTCTCTCTCATGTCTGTCTATCTGTGTCTGTCTGTCTGTCTGTCTATCTCTCTCTCTCTCTCATGTGTGTGTGTCTCTCTCTCTTTCTCTCTCTCTCTCTCTCTCTCTCTCTCATGTCTGTCTATCTGTGTCTGTCTATCTGTCTGTCTGTCTGTCTGCCTATCTCTCTCTCTCTCTCTCTCATGTGTCTCTCTCTCTCTCTCTCTCTCTCTCTCTCTCTCTCTCTCTCTCTCTCTCCTTACTCTCTTACTGCTCCTTGAGAAATGAAGAAATTCCAAGGTTAGCCCCAGAACATTCCCCAATAACACAGGAGATTGGGGTAAAATGGGAGTTCTGCCATCTGGATCTACAGGACCCCACTAGGCAGCCTGCTCATGTGGCAAGCACAGTTGGTCCCAGCAGCCCTGAGAAAGGCAGCTCCAAAAGCAACATTTTCTGATGAGCCAGGCAGGAGCCTCCAAGAGGACAGTGCCCATTGGTGACCCAGGAGGCAGGCCTTGGGACTGGAACTGTTCCCAGGGTTACCTCACAGCTCCCACACTGTGCCCAGAGCACTGGAAGGATTTGGCCTGGTGTTTGTACAGGGTATGTCCTGACAGTGGGAACAGCTGGAGCAGCCTGGAGAGGGTGACCTTTCTGATACATCTGGTGACAGACTGCATGCTGGAGGCCAAGCGGTCCCCTTCAGGCAAGCCTATGTGGTGTCATCATTAGCACTGCTTCAGGCTTGTACAACCAGAAGACTACTAGGCGGTCCCGGAGGGCGGAAGCCTTTTGCACTGACTCAAACTTTGGTGGTATCACAATCTCTTATGGAGTTTTCAACAAGACCCTCCGTGAACCAACTCACCTCTGCATCCGTGAACAGGGGCAGACCATTAGCACAGACCAGGGCTAGATACGCGCATTTCTATAAGCCGGAGCTATCACTGGAAAGAAGGCTGGAGGCGAGTCATGTAGGGAATCCAGCAAAGACCCAGTCACAAAATGACAGGAAGGCAGGACCTGAAGAGGGCTGGAGAGGAGGCATGAATGGGGCAGGTGGTCTATTGGGAGTGTGGAGAGTCGAACTAAGATGCTCATGACCTTGGATAAGGCCCCTCTTCATCTGGTGGCTGATGGGAAGCAGGGCCCTGTCTGGTTGGGATTGAAAGTCTCTGAAGTCTCAGGACTCCTGGGGCTTCAGAAATCAGGGCCCAACCCACCAGCATTCACCAGAAATGTGCTGTCAACTTGTAGGGACCTCATCCCTCTGCCTTGTGCTGCTCTAGTCTGAGTCTCTCAGAGCCATGAAGGCTCTGGGACCAAATTCCTGAGTAGCCACACGGGGCTCTACACTGAGAAGACCCTACTAGGCTTAGCGCCCTCTTGTGCTGCCAACTTGAAATAATTGACGATATTTAATATATTAAATATTTTTTACTAAAACTAAATTTACTAAATAAATCTGACCACTTAAATTATATATATATATATATATATATATATAATAAACAAAATAAAACAATATATATAAGAAAAATCATGAATGTAGTCCCCCCACTACCATAGATAACATAGTCAAGTTTCCCAAATTTGAGGAAATGTCAGGAGTCAGCGCACTCAGAGTACGACACAGGGTGGAAAAACCACCTTTGTGGTTGTGGTGTCCTCCCTGCCAGGTAAGGCTGAGCATTTTAAAATGAACAGCTGAATGGCATTTAGTGCATGTGTCATCCAGCTCCATTATCTAGCTCTTGCTGGTGTTTTACTTTACTTTGTTTAAGTATTTTAATTACAGCACTAGGTCATTGTGGCATTTTCAATCACAGTTTGTTTTTCTTGGTCTCTTTTTCCATTTGCCCTAAAAGGTTGTTTATTTTACATTACGTGTATGTGTGCATGTGTCTGTGTCTGCGTGGGGGTCCATGCACACGAATTCAGGTGCCCTTGGAGATCAGAAGCATCAGATCCCCCCTGGAACTGGAGTTACAGTGAATCCATATTGGACTGTGAGGCACCCAATGTGGGCTCTGGGAATCAAATTCAAGTCTTCGGCAAGAGCAATAAATGCTCTTCATCACTGAGCCAACTCCCTAGCCCTCATTGTTGTTGATTTTTGAAACATTTTATCACCCTAAAAGAAAACTTTGTGCCCGTCAAACTACCATTCTCCATGTTCCTACCCTGCACTCCGGCAATCACTAACCTGCTTTCTGTCTCCATGCATTTCTATATTCTGGAAATTTTAATGAGCGGGTCATAGAATATGTGACCTTTTGCAATTGCCTTCCTTCTCTTAGCATAACTGGGGAAGCAATGCTTTTTACATTTATTTGTTGCTATGTTTGGAGGGAAGGGGATGTTTGCGCCACCATGATGCACATGTGGAGGTTAAATGACAACTTTTTCAGAGGTCGGTTCTCTCCTTCCATCGTGGGATTTAAGGTTTGAACTCAGGTTGCCAGGTTAGGAAGCCAGTGCCTTTACCTGCTGAGCCATCTCCATAGCCCAATATAATACTTTTGAGATTTACCCACAACGTAGCATACCGTAAGTCCTTTACTATAGCACACAAGTATTCAAGTATTATTCCATTCTAGCTAATTTTTTAACCACATGCTCCAACTTTTTGATTTTGCATTGGGCTCTGAAATGATGGCCCTGGTCAGAGGAGATTCATAATTGAGGGTGTGGATGCTACTTACACTCAGACCTGCCGCCTCCTCGCCTCTCCTCCTGCCACCAACCTCCAACAGCTGCCAAATAATTATTTCACTCAAATGAGACCCACCTGCACAATCTCCACATTTAGAGGCCTGAAAGCCATCAGATTCCATCCCGTGTTAGCTACAGAGCAGAGCTCCCCCACCGGGATCAGGACATGCCGAACCCCTCGGCCCGGAAGGACTGCTTCACTATCTCATCTCCTCTCACAGAACAATCCCAGCACTTTAACTCTGTGGTCCTGATCCTCTAAAATCGAAGTGATAAAAGAATCATAAGCTGGGGGGAGGGGCAGGAAGAGGGACAGTAACAGAGAGGCAACCTCCTTCAGGGCTGACCTTCGCGAAGACAGGCTGAGAAAAGGATGGGTCAACTCAAGTTTCCACACTGATACTTTGGGGGACCATAGACCTTACTGACAAGAGGATGTATGTGCCCAATGAGATATAAATAAGCATGTTAATTATTCCTGCTAAGGTCCAGCTTAATGGCCAAAAAAACTAATTATTAGAAAGAACTTGAAAAGGGTCTGAAATAAATATAGCCAGTGTGGCGCTTGTTATCCCATAAGGAATGGAGCCGAGCCGTGGAAGTTGAAAATAATGCAGCCCACTGAGTGGATGCTTCCAGCATGCAGTGGGCAGCTGTCCACGTTGGTCAATAAGGTTCTTGTCCTTGTCATGTCGGCCAGCATTTAATAGTAAGTTGGCACCCTCAATGTCAGTCTCTTCTAAGATACATGGGGTTATGGAAGGAGAGAGGAGCTTGGACAGCCTAGGGTCCAGTGCTCAGTCATCTGACTTCCGCTTCGGTGGCCGATGCCTCAGAGCTTGAGAGTATGTGCTATTATACTAGAACATTTCACTGTGACCAGGGCACCACAAGCCAAGTCTTTATGCTGGGGTCCAAACATACAGGCTGGATCACCTTACTGTCCCAGTCAACACCTCAGCCCTCCCATCCTTGCTCACCTGGTCCCAATAACTACATCGAAGATGGTACTGCAGCAGGGTAGCCATCCCTAGCTAAATTTCCACACCTCCATTTTCCTCTGCAGTGACCCGCCAGGGTACTCATCTCCCCAACTTTTCCTCCTCTCCCCTCCCCTAGCCAGAAGCTCCTCTAGTCCCTCCCACTCACCACCAAATGCCTTTAAATCCCTCACCCTTTCTTACTTCCTGACACCCTGGTCATATCCCACAGCCCCCTATCCACAGAATCATCATCTTTCCAACGCTCCCTGCCAGGACCTTCCAGTGGCCTTCACCACCTCCACGAAGAGACCAATCTCTAAGCTGGGCACTCAAGTACCATCATGCTCTGGCCCCTCCCCACCACCTACCTCATCTCTCCTCATCACACACTCTAATGAACTTCCTCCCTCATTTCTTGCCTTTCTCCCCCTTGCTAAAATTCCTCCCCTGCAGAAGAAGTAAGCAATGCCTATCCCTCCTGTGAAGGTTCCAAACACAAACTGACTCAGGCAGGCATTTGAGCAGCACTGATGTCAAGTAGCAAAGATCACTCTGTGGAAGACAGGACCAAGAGCAGGTATGTGGTCATGAAACATAAAGCGTAATTCTTCATATTATCATTTTCTCTTCCTCGGTCTTCCTGTAAGCGCTGCTGCACGTTTAGGCTTCGGTGGGAAAGAAGAAAATAAAGAAGCTGGTTTTGAGAGCCCTGATGGACTGGGCCCTGCTTGTCACTTCTGGACACTGTTGGAAGAGAGGAGCATTGAGGAAGGGACACCTACTTAGGAAGCTACGTCACATCTGAATGTGCTCTCTCTCTCTCTCTCATACACACACACACACACACACACACACACACACATATGCACACATGCGTGCACATGTGCATTTTTTGTTGTGTTTATTTATTTATAGCTATGTGTGTGGATGGATGGGGAAGACAACTTGCAGGAGTTGGTTCTCTCCTCCCTGATCTGTCAAGGTGTGAACAAGTGTTACCATAGCTACAGCTTCAACCACCATGCTGTCCCCACCGTGTGGATCTCCCTTGTACTTACGCCCGGGCTCCATCAGAAGTTTGATCCAGACTGATAGAAATCACATGTCTGTGTATCAGTTTCTTCTCCTGTAAAATATGTCCCCAGAGCATCCAACTGGGACTATAGAGAGGATTTAATGAGTTAATGTGAATGCAGTATGTAAAACAGCGTCAGGAACATAGTTAGCTCTCAATAAATACTGATAATAAACACTGATAATTGCTATGGCTATTATCCCAAATGTATTGAGGGGGAGAAGGTTAAATAACCCAGAGAAACAGAACCAGCAAGAGATGTCTTGTAGCCAGGTGTGATGGTAGAGAACTGTGATCCCAGCCTGAGAGTAGGTAAGTGAAGATCCAAATGGTGGGGAGAGCATGGTGATTGGTGCTGGATCTCGTGGCACCAATTGTTTACCTCTTAATAGATCAAGAAGCAGAGAGAATAGAACCGGAAGCAGGGCTAGATTATAAACTTCAGTGGGCTAGTACAGAGCCTAAGTCACAGGTCTCAAAGGGCTTCCCAACTTCCCAAAACAGCGCCACCAGCTGGGAATCAAGTGCTCAAAAACATACACTTGGGAGACCTTCAATAACTCAAACCATAACAAGCACCCACAAAGCCTAAAGGGATCCCAACAAATTTCCCCGCCACCATTCTGCTGCGGCGCAGTGAGCACTTTGTCCTCGTTCACACTTCCCTTCCTGTTTTATCTTATTTATGCCATGGTTGAAGAGTTACCAGTTTAAGCCCTGTGGCAGAGACAGGGAGGGGGGATAGGAATGCTGGAGACATCAAGGGAAGCAGACAAATATTCCGGGACGCCAAAGCCGTCTGCGGGGCTTCCTCCGCAGCATCCGTCAGCAGACAGCATCGATCTGGAGATGGGGCTCTGTTTGTGAAGGTTTCCCAAAAGAAGGCTCTGAGAGAGGAGTGAGCTGTGTGTCCCCATTCTCTTTTTTTCTTTTTTTTTAAACTATCTTTTCTCATTTTACGTACCAATCCCAGTTCCCACTTCCTCCCTTCCTCCCATCCCCTCCACCTTCCTCCCCACCCTACCCACATCCACTCCTCAGAGAGGATAAAGCTTTCCATGGGGAGTCAGCAAAGTCTAGCGCATTGCTTTGAGGCAGGACCAAGGCCCTCCCCTCTATACTAGGCTGAGCAAGGTATCTCTACAAAAAGAACGGGTTCCAAAAAGTCAGTACAAACAGTAGGGATAAATCGTGGTCTCACTGCCAGTGGCCCCACTGTCTGCCCCAGCCATACAACTGTTACCCACATTCAGAGGGCCTAGTTTGGTACCATGTTGATTCCTTCTCTGTCAGGCTAGAGTTAGTGGACTCTCATTAGCTCAGGTAAGCCGTTTCAGGGAGTATCCCCATCATGGCTTTGACCTCTCTGCTCCTATTCTCACTCCTTCCACTCTTTGACTTAAAGATACATTTTTACAGCTGTGCAAACCAAGTTCAAACAGCCTGGCCATGTGCCCACACGCCCTGAAATGCAGGAAGCCAGGACAGGAGCACCACGGGAGAGGGTTGTCCTTCAGCAAGCTATGTGGGGGACACTGAGCTCCCGGGATATCTAACAGGATAGAGAGATTGCCCGCTAGACAGCCTCAGGACCATGTCCCAGGTCATCAGGAAGTAAGGAGATGCTTTGAGAAGGAAATGGTTTGTTTTCTGAAGTAGGCACCTCACACAGACATTTGTTATTTCAGCCTCGGTCCCTAAAAACCATGAGACCAATGAAGCCTATGGCTCTGGTCAACAGTGCAGAAGCTGAACAGGCGAGGTCTACGGTTTGGGAAGCTCACACGCTGCGTGGAAACTTTCAGTCGAAACCCTGAAGCCTCTCTATGGAGTCCTCACGCCACCCTCAAGCCAGCAACACCTAGGAAACCAGGAGTCTTCCCACCATCCATGGCAGCGACCCCATCTCTGCCTTTCCACTTCATGGACCCCTCCCCAGCAGCCTGGGTTCACCCTTAACATGACACAATCACACTGTCCCATTGGTCTGTTAGCAGGAAGGTCTGCATTGAGAAATCAAGATCTCTCCAAGGACACAGATGTGCCCAGGAGGCTTTTGCCAGATGAAATTCGGTCCGGTCCAGTCCGCAGTGTCTCCTCTCCTTCCACACCCTCCCACAGCCCTCACAGAAATCAGCCAGGGTCCAGGCCCTGCTCTTGGAGTTAGGGTGGCAGGAAAAAATGGGCAGAACTAGACTGTGCCCTTCTGGAATGGTTTCTGGTTTACTTTTTCATACAACAAATATTTATTAAACACCCACACTCTACCAGCTCTTTCTTCAGAAGTGAAAAAACAACATAGGGGCTAGAGATGGGGCTCGGTGGTTAAGAGCACTTTGCTGTTCTGTTATGAGGACTTGAGTTCAGACCCAAGCACCCATGATGGGTGGCTCACAAACATCTGTAACCCCTGCTTCAGGGGATCTGATACCCTCTTCTGGCCTCTGTGAGTACACACACACAAATGTACATGAATAATAAAAATATTTTTGAAAAAAAAACGGATTAAAATCCCTGACTTGGTGAAGTTTACATTTTAGGGAGACATTAAATAGGTCTGTGCACAAAGTATTCATTACAAATGTGTGCTATTAGGAGGAGTGGTGCCAGAGTTAGGAAACTACAGCATCCAAGACCCAGGCCAGCGCTACTGGAACCATTATTTGCCTGATGGTGTCCAAAATGCATGACGGAAACAAGAGGGAGGAAAGGCTTGTTCTGGCTCACGGGAACTCCAGTCCATGTGGCAGTGGGAACAGGAGGCAGAACAGCTCAGCAAAACATGGGACAGGGGCAGGTCAGAACCAGAAGCAGCAGAGCCTTCAAAGGCCCCACCCAGTGATCTACTTCTCCCAAAAGAGCCATGACCTTTAAGACTGGTGAACAAATACTCCAACAAGAACGCATGGGGAACATATTAGATTCTGAAGCCTACCAGCAGAAGTGAAGTGTCGTGTAGGAAAAGGAAGAAGGGAGAGCCATACTGTAGAATAATCCTTTTGTATACCATGAAGGTGTGTTGCTCTCATTGGTTTAATAAAGAGAAAGAGGTTAGGCAGGAGAGCCAGACTGAGAGAATGCTGGGAAGGAAAAGGGAAGCATCACCAAGAGATGCAGAGGAAGCAGGAGATGACCATAAAGTCCTAAAAAAAGGTACTGCCAAATGGTAGAGCATAGATAAGAAATATGGGTTAATTTAAGGTATAAGAGCTAGCTAGTTACGAGCCTGAGCTACTGGTTGATTATATTATAGTTAAATATTTGTAACTATATATAATTGTATATATACAATTATAACTAATAATAAGTCTCCACGTTGGTTATTTGGGAGCTAGCTGTCAGGACAGAAAGGTCTGCCTACAGAGCCATCTTCCCTTCTCTCTTTTTTCTTTCTTTTTCCACCATGAGTGAGTGAGTGTGATGTGTGTGTGTGTGTGTGTGTACGTGCGTGCACATGTGCACAAGCATGTGTGTGCCCCCTGTGTGTCCAGCTGCTGACGACCAAGCTAACTGGCATTTTTATGCATTCTAGTGATCTGAACTCCAGTCTTCATGCTTGCCAAGCAACTGTTTTAACACTGAGTCATCTCCCCCAACTCCCCAGCTCCCCTCCTCCAACAACCAGAAAAGACTGAGGAAAACTCAAGAGTTTTTTCAAGAGGTGGGCCTACTATGAAGAAAATTAGCTGGAGTCATTAGCCAAGCTGTTGTACAAGGTACCATAGACTGGCTACCTATAATTACAGAACTTCACTGACTCACCGCCGTGGAAGCAGGAAGGTGGCAATCAAGGTGATGGAGAGGGCTGGTTTCTTCTGAGGAATGTGAGGGAAGGTTCTTTCTAGGTCTCTCCCTGTGGCTTATGGAAGATCACCGTCACCTCCAGTAGTCTTCTCTGCATGACGCTTTCCGCACAGCACCCTCCATGGACGTGCGTCTGCCTCCAGCTTTCCCCTTTGCACACAGTCCCTGTCCTGCTGGATGAGAGACTGCCCCAAATGCCTCACTTGAACGGTTTTAACTTCTGCCAGGACCCCATCCACAAATAAGGTCCCATTCTAAGGATGTCAATACATGAATCCAGGGCAGGAGGAAGAACACAAACACAACCCATACACAAACAAGAAAAGTCAGATGAGAGGTAAGACACTTGAAGAATCTTTCCTGGTTTCAGAAAAATCCAAATTGAAGTCATTCCCCTTGCATCCCTTTCAACTGACCAAACTCCATTGGTGATCAGTTGTCCCCTTGCTTGTTTGAAAGAGGACCTCACAGTGTTGAGAGTTCTGTGGTTTCCAGGGACAAACTTGAACCCTCACAGACACACAACCAGAATCAGAACAAACAAAAGTTAGGACTAGCTATGAAGGATGAGCCAGAGAAACCTAATGGGCTACATGGGAAAGCCAGAGAGAAAGCCTAGTAGGTAATTATTGTCCCGTGTCTCTCCAGAAACAGCCGGAGCTTATCTACTGTGGCACTGTCTCCTCTCAGAAGGCCTCAAGTAGAATCCACAGTCATCTGGGGTCTTAGATAAAACAGTTTGCCTTCCCTATTCCAAAGCTGCTGGGACTAGATCCCAGAGGGATGCTTTTATGTGATACCCAGGGTGACTGGTCTCCAGCAGTGTTTGGAACCTGCTGTTCCTCCGCTGGGCCTAAAGATAAACATGTGCTCAGGGCTCTAAAGAGCTCAGCGGTTGGGTCTGTGGGGAACTGGCATAGTTCCTAACCCTTGATTATGGCTCTAAGCTGTCTCCAGGCAGATTCTGATTCCTATTTCTAATCCCGCCTCTCAACTCTTGATTACTTTGGCAAGTGCTTTTCAATTGCCCCATTCCTGCCTTTTATAAAGAAATGCCTCAAACTTCAATCTTTTGGAAGAAAAGAAACAGCATATATAGATGCTATTTCCCATGTTTGGGAAGCTTTGTGCTTATCTTCCTCAAGGACGGGTTGAAGAAAAAATGAATTTGTCCTGATTTTCATTGCTTTACATCAACACAGACCCATGGACCAGCCTTATATAGCACATTCTGATCAAAACATTTTTATATAAGCGGTGATGGTCACAGGTGGAT